ACATAGTTTATTTTTAAGGTCTTTTGTCTCTTCTTACCAAAAAACTGGTACTTAGCAATGACAACTGTCTACATTTCTTAGGAATTGATGCACTTCTTTTTTTTTTTTGAGACAGAGCCTCAAGCCGTCCCCCTGGGTAGAGTGCCATGGCATTACAGCTCACAGCAACCTCCAACTCCTGGGCTCAAGCGAGTCTCTTGCCTCCGCCTCCCAAGTAGCTGGGACCACAGGTGCCCGCCACAACGCCCGGCTATTTTTTGGTCGCAGCCGTCATTGTTGTTTTGGCGGGTCCGGGCTGGGGACTCGAACCCGCTGCCTTAGGTGTACGTGGCTGGCGCCTTAGCCGGTTGAGCTATAGGCGCCGAGCCCAGGAATTGATGCACTTCTTAATGCTGACCCTGTAAACCTTTATGTCATGTAGTGGGGGTTGAATAGTGTCCCCCAAATAAGTCAAGTCCTAACCTGCGATATCTGGGAATGTAATGGTATTTGGAAATAACGGTCTTTACAGTGCTGACCCTGTAAACCTTTTTGTCATCTGTAGTGGGGGTTGACTAGTGTCCCCCAAACAAGTCAAGTCCTAACCTGGGATATCTGGGAATGTAATGGTATTTGGAAATAAAGGTCTTTACAGATGTAATTAAAGATGCCATGATAAGATCACCCTGGCTTTAGGGTGGGCCCTAAATCTAATGACTATTGTGCTTAAAGTAAGAGGAGATTGGAAACAGAGAAAGCCAGGTGAAGACAGGCAGAATTGTACAAGCCAAGGAATCTCAAGGATTGCTAGCAACCAGCAGAGCAAGGAGGCAGGCATAGATTCTCCTTCTCCAGCAGTCTCAGGAAAAGACCAGCCCTGCTTGATTTCAGACTTCTGTCCTCTAGAAGTCTAGAGAACTGTGATAAAATAAATTTCTATTGTTTCAATCCACTCAGGCTGTTGTAATTTGTTACAGCAGCCCTAGAAAACTAATAGATTGTCTATAATATTATTTATCATCTATCAACTGTATTTTATATATGAATTACAGTTATATACAACATCACAGGTAAAATAACTTTCTTCTCATACACACACACACACACGTGTATATATATATATATATATATATGTTTTTTTTTTTAAACAGGGACTGAAACTGTCGCCGTGGGTGTGCCCTAGCATCACAGCTCGCAGCCACCTCCAACTCTTGGGCTTAAGCAATTCTCTTGCCTCAGCCTCCCAAGTAGCTGGGACTACAGACACCTGCCACAACACCCAATGGGTGTAGCAGTTGTCATTTGTTGTTTAGCTGGCTTGGCCAGGGTTGAATCCGCCAGCCTTGTGTGTATGTGGCTAGCACCCATTGTGCTATGGGTGCTGAGCCCAATTTTTTAATTTTTAGTAGAGATAGGGTCTTGCTTTTGCTTAGGCTGGTCTCAACCTCATAAGCTCATCACCCCCCTCAGCCTTCCAGAGTGCTGGGATTACAGGGTGAACCATTGTGCCTGTCCCACATTCATACTCTTTGATACTTTTTATTAAGGTGTCTTACAAAATTTTGTATTTCTAAACGGCTTCAGTGCATAATGGAAGATCACAAGGTGGTCATTACTACCTTTTCTGATTTCACAGTAAAGCAGGAAAGCATTTTTTCTTTCTTTCTTTTTTTTTTTTTTTTTTTTGAGACAGTCTCACTTTGTCACCTCGGTAGACTGCCATGGCGTCACATCTCACAGCAACCTCAAACTCTTGGGCTGAAGTGATTCTCTTCCCTCAGCCTCCCAAGTAGCTGGGAGTACAGGTGCTGGCCACAAAACCCAGCTATTGGAGGTGGCGGTCTCACTCTGGCTAGTTTTGAACTCATGAACTCAGGCCAACCACCTGCCTTGGCCTCCCAGTGTGCTAAGATTACAGCCATGAGCTACCTCGCCTGGCCTAGAAGAACATGTTTTAATACTGATGATGACAATTTCTAATTAGAATATGGGGAAACATTTTCCTTTTACTTTATTGGCTCCTCGGTCTCTTTTATTCCTTTCTTCTTCCAGCCTTTCAACAGTAGAGATCTAATGGCCTCAGTCCTTACTACTATTCCTTTTTTCCTTATTCCTGTTTTATGCTGTACCTCTACTTACCTCTTTGATGATCTCACCCAGTCTCATGTCTTTAAATATTAAATAGCACTGATATTCTGGATGACTCCCAAAAGTATAGCTTTTGTAAACCTCTCATTAACTCCAGACTCGTGCAACTGTGACTGTCAAAGAGACATTTCAAGCTTAAGATGTGAAAGCCAAACTCCTCATCTTATTCCCAGAGCCTCTATACTTTTCCCATCCTAGCTAACAACTGGTTTTCTAGCTGCCAAGGCCCAAAACCTTGGTGGCTGGCATCTTTGACTTCACTTTCTCTTACATCTTGTATCCAGTTTATCAGTAAATCCTGTTTGCTGTCTCTTTCAAATACATCAGAATCCCATTTTTCACCATTGCCATCACTACCCCTGGTCAAAGTGACATTATAGTAGTGTTCGAGTGGGCCAACTGGAGCAACTTAAATACACTACGTTGGGGGAATAGTTAAGTAAATTATTGATACTAGTGCAGTTATATTCTGTGTCTTTTTTTTTGAGACAGAGCCTCAAGCTGTCCCCGTGGGTAGTGTGCACTGGCATCACATCAAGCAAGTCCCCTGCCTCAGCCTCCCAAGTAGCTGGGACCATACGCGCCCGCCACAACGCCCGGCTATTTTTTGGTTGCAGCC